TACCCAAGGGACCCTGGAAGGAACCAGAAACTGAGGAAAAGTTCCCCGGGTTGGCTTCCCCTTGGCTTGCTGGCCTCTCCAAGTGTCCCCAAGGCCACTTTTCACCCTTTCTGCCCAGGGGACACTTGAGTAGAATAATGAGCCCTCTCCGCCACCGTGGGGTGCCTGGCCACTCTGGAGTGGAGAGGAGGCACCCCCCCACTTGCTGTCTCCAGCTCCTCGGGCTCTGCTGGAGGGATGCGGTCACCCAGCGGAGGGCTCGGCCCATCACACACTGCCGACGCAGATGTCAGCTCCAGGTGCCCTTCCCCCAGGCCCTCAACCCCGCGGACTACACCTCCCAGTTCTATTCCTCACCCCAGCTAGCACCCCAGGGCCCGGCAGGGCGACCACGGCTCAGGGACCAGCCCTGCCGGCCATAGGTGAGCAAAGTCAATCAGCCCGGAGGCAGCAGGTCAGCAGCAGTCCGGCCCAGCAGCCCAGCGGCCACGGGGTCCCACGTGCTCAGAGCCACCCCAGAAGTCTCGCACTGCTCCAGCCAAGACGTGTGCATTTACCAAGATGCCTGGGGCCTAGGCAGAGCCCTGAGCTCTGGCAGGGCCAGTCTGGCTCTCGCCTTGCTCTGGGGCAGCAGGTTCAAATTTGGCAAAACTAACTCATTAAACAAGAACAAACCAGAGCAAAACACGGTGCCCAGTTAACTAGGAATTTCAGGAAAACAGCCAGCAGTTCAGCTCTAACGGGGCGCCCTGTATTATTTTCTAAATGTGGCAACTCTGCGCACCACTGGGAGGGAGGGTGAGGTGTGAAGTTGGAGCCAGAAAGATAAAGACCCAAGGGCCCCGCAGGGAGTCTTGCTCAGTTCCTGGCGAGCTGCGCTCCAGGCCCGCTGGTGCAGAGACACACCTTCGAGCAGAGGGGCCTGGGGGTCTGCCAGCCCAGGCCAGAACTTCATGGCAGGCGGGCGGCCCCCACCGCACCTCAGGCCACCTACCTTTTCTCCTGGCGGGCCGATGGCACCCTGGGGGCCTGGAAGACCCTGGCGGGGGAAGAGCCGGGAAGGAGAGGTGAGGGGGTGGACCGACCCAGAACGCCTCTGTGTCCCCCCACCACCCTGCTGACCCTCTCCCTCCGCTGGGCACCACCCTGGTGCTAGATGCCTCTAGGCACGCTGAGGGCCCAGCTCAGTGCTGCTCATTCTGGGTACCCCCAGACCTGCTGTCCGTGAGCTGTCTCCCCAGGCTCACTTACCTGGGCACCTGGGTTACCCTGCTGTCCTGGAGGGCCGGGCTCTCCCTGGGGACCCTGTAGGGTACAACCACAAAGGCACTGAAGGAGCTCTGGGAACGGCCCCTCCACACGCGTGTCCCCACCACCTGGCCCCTCAGTCTGCTCTGAGCTGCCCAGAGCAGCCCCAGGGACCGTGCCCAGGCGCAGCCGGTCAGGAAG